AGCATTGTAGGGCAGTGTGGGATGGTTTGTTGGGAGTCTTAAAAGCTGAGGTTGAATATCACCGAGCTGGTTATTTGGTGAGGGAGGTGGCGTGGGCATGTGAGCCAGCCTCTACATCTCAGGGCTACTGATTTTCCTAACACAGGACTAGTCGTTTTCATAGACGCAAGAGGCTTTTTTGTTGCTCACCAACCATCCCACAGTGACTTGTGGCATTCTTCCTGCCCTGACAGATCTTCTCTTGGACAAGAGAAGCAAATGCGTGGGCATGAGTACCCTCCAAACCTGTTGCCCTAGGGTCTGGTGCTGGGTTTCAGGCTTCAAGTGCCACTGCTCTGACTTGTGTCCTAGAATCATAGAATCATAGAATGTTGTGAGCTGGAAGGGATCCACAAGGATCATTGAGTCCAACTCCTGTCCATGCATAGAGCAAACCCAAGATTCAGACCATGTGTCTGAGGGCCTTGTCCAAATGCTTCTGGAATATTGTCAGGCTTGGTGCCGTGACCATGTCCCTGGGGAACCTGTTCCAGTGCTCCACCACCCTCTGCCTCAAGAACCTTTTCCTAATGTCCAACCTAAACTTATCCTGGCACATCTTCCTGCCATTTCCCCTGGTCCTATCATTGGTTGCCAGAGAGAAGAGATCATAGTGGCCAGGCTGGGGGTGAGCTGTGCAAGTGTCCCTCCGGGGGTGACACCTCTGACATACAGTCGAAAACTGGGGGTTTGCCTTAAAAGAGGTGTTCCTAGGTATTAGGAGTGGAGAGAAAAAACTGGGAAACTGTCCTGGATACCTGTCAGTCTCACATACACCAGTCGGCACAAGAGATTGAATCATAAAGGTATTTTTCACTCTTCTGTTTCCAAAATCCCTTTCTGGGAGGACTGGCTGACCACAGCTGGACTCATGGAATACTGGGAAGCCCCCACAGCCACCTCTCCCACCCAGCGCCTGCTCTCGGGTTTTGGCTCTCCCTGCTTGAGCCGTCAGTCCATTGAACAGAAGAAAACACGTTTTTATCATCACGGGAACCCTGCGGCCGCATCCCTGGAGCCGGGCATCCCCCGACCCCATCCCGGTCGGGCAGCCCCCGGGGTCCCGGCGCGGCGGGAGCGGAGCGGGCGGCGGCCCTTGAGCTCCCCTTAGTGTCGGGAAGGAGCATTTTTGATAAATAACATCGTCCATGGAGACGGCCGCGGTGTGTCCCGGGGGGTCAGCGACACTGGGATGCTGAGGAAGCACCACAGTGACCCCCACCCCGTCACCTCTGCGTCCAGCCGCTGCCCTTGCTGGGAAACGTTTGTAGACACAAGGATCGACATGGAGATAATTCAAGCCCAGATGTCCCCATGCTAATTTTATCCAGGGGTTCTGAAAAAAATCTAATTCTTGGGGGTTTTGTTTGTTTGTTTGTTTGGGGTTTTATTTGTTTTTCTTTTTTTAAAAAAAATAAATAAGAGGTTTTCTTACCCCTACCAAAACCCAACATAGCAGTGAGTATGGCAATTTATATCAGGTGAGGAGCTGCCACAGACATCTGCCATTTGAATTTACAAGTGAGGAATTTAGTGTGAACTTCTGAATCTGCTAAAGCTGGACTTCAAATTTATATTTCTGGTACCTGGACTCCTGGCTTGTGCAGGAAGTGAGTCCGCAGCCTAAAAATCTCACAACCTCCAAGACTGCTTGAGAGAGTCCAGCACAGAGCCACAAGGATGATTAAGGGAGTGAAGCATCTCCCTTATGAGGAAAGGCTGAGGGAGCTGGGGCTCTCTAGCGACTGAGGGGTGACCTTATTAATGTTTACAAATATGTTAAGGGCAAATGTCATGAGGATGGAGCCAGGTTCTTCTCAGTGATGCCCAGTGATAGGACAAGGGGCAATGGGTGTGAGCTGGAACACAGGAGGTTCCGCTTAAACTTGAGAAGAAACTTCTTTACAGTGAGGATGACAGAGCACTGGAATAGGCTGCCCAGGGAGGTTGTGGAGTCTCCTTCTCTGGAGACATTCAAAACCCGCCTGGACGCCTTCCTGTGTGATCTCATTTAGGTTCCTGCTCCAGCAGGGGGATTGGGCTAGATGATCTTTCGAGGTCCCTTCCAATCCCTAACATTCTGTGGTTCTGTGACTCCTTCAGCTTGTCTACCTTTTATGGGAACTGAGAAGAATTTCTTCCTGATTTAATGACCACATAGTGACTTCTTTCTGGTTTCAGCCTGGTTTGGACAGAAGATCAGACATAAAATGTGCTGCCATCACTGAGCATCTTCTGCTGTTTGTTCACAGCTGGACAGCACTTCTCCAAGAGGATCCATGGGGACTGACACAGTCAAGGAGCGTGAAGTCTTTGGCACTGCAGCTCAGCTATAGTGGCCCCTCCAAGGGATGCTACTTCTTGCACGTGGCACACCCTGCACTGGGCTCGGTTCTCCTCTTGCAGCTCAGACATGCTCTGCTTTCGTAGGCAGATATAGTTGTGTTTCTAATTCTTGTGTGAGCTTTGTGCCCTCAGCTCTCCTCCCAGCTGGCTGAGCTTCCCTCTCTGGACCGGGCATGCAGAGTGGTTTGATGAAAGCATCATTTGTTTTCCTGCCAAGTTCTGGTTTTGCCAGCATGGTAAAATTAACACAGGTCCTGGTCCTGAGTGCCTTGTTTCTCTTCCCAGACCAGAATGAACTGTATTGGTGTGGGTACTTCACTACTGATTCCTGCATCCCCACTGCATGTTTTGTCCCATTCCCCTTTAGCAGTGGCCCCTGCAGCCATCACTCTGGCTATGTGCCTGCCTGAGCCACCTCGAGCCCTTCCTTCTTTAGCCACTGCAAGATAAATGCCATTTTGTGCACTTGGCATTGAACTCTTTAGTGTTGGCATGGGCTCTCCTGGGCTGCTAGGAAATCCCTCTGACTCCAGACTTTGCAGATTTTGCATCTGCACTGCGAGGTGAAGAAGTGTCAGGGGAGGGGAGTAAGGAGTAGGTTAAGCATGTCACACTCTGGTTTCTGGCCCCACTGTTGGACAGTAGCTTGGGTTCAAGTTGTGCTTAGGAGCAGATGGGCTGGACTATGGTGTCCTTTGCCCTGGGTATGCAGATCTAACCCCTGGTGTCCCTGGCACAACTGCTATTTTCTGGATGCCCATTCTCCAAAAAGAGGCTTTAAGGGGATTTAAGTCCAGCCAAAGGGGACATGATGGCAGTTTTACCTGATGAAAAAATCTAATGTCTCAGCATTTAGCCTGAAAAATGGTGAGGAACACACTCCTTTAGCAAGGAAAGTGAGAAAATGAGAGTGTAAGCAGCACCTGATGATGTATGAAGACATGAACATAGCTTGTAAATCTTTTATTTCCTAACAGTGATAATGCTTTATTTACACACTGCCATACAAAAAACAAAGCAAAGAAAACCCATGCAGGCTCAGCACTGTCCCTGGAAGCCCTGTGGAAAGCTGTGGAAGCCCAAGTACTGGTGCTCAGTATGCTGTTAGTGCTGGTAGGACTCCCTACCAGAACAGAAAGCTTTTGTCTCCTCATGTAGATGAGCCACTGTCTGCTTCCACCAGTTCTGAAACAGTTGTCATCCATCAGGTTTCACCCATGGTTTGAGGCAGGTGCTCCTTGCCTCCTCTAAACCAGAGCCAAGAATGGTAAGCCTCTCTCTTCATTTTCCTGCTGTCAAAGGCATCAGAGTGGATACTGCAAAACTCTTGGGATTTTCCAGACTTCTGTCCTGAGGCCTGAGACCACATAACAAAATTTTCATCTGGTTCAAAAAGGTGATGATTTTTGTTGCAGTCTGCACAGACCCTGCAGACTGCTGGATCATCTCGCTCACATCAGCCCTGGATGCCCCATCACCTGCTGCTCTTACCAACACTGCTTGGTTTTTCCACTTATATCTGGATTTCTAAGCACTAAAAACAAGTTTCAAAGCTGTGTAGACAAATGCAATTATGACTCACGTTAAGGCAGAGGTGTGGGGTTGCTTACACATATTTCTGACATTTTAAATCAAATATCTGCAAGCAGGTTGTTGCAATGTGCCCAGCTACGTGTACACAGGCTACTTGCCACCTGCTGAATGCTCTGTGCTGGTGGAAACTGCGAAGATTTAGCCTTTAAGAAAGAGAAGCCTTTCAGTTATTATCTCAGACACGTGTAAGACATTTGGTTAAGGTAAAAGCCTTTGGTTTAGGGTTCATATTTTCACTTTAAAAGTTTAATTAGCTTATGCTTTCCCATTGTTACTTTTATTCATCATCCCTTTGCTTTACTGGAGCATCCAATTTCTAAAGTATGAAATGCTTATCTTACCATAAAGGTAAGGGGTATTGCTTCTGGGAAAAGGACTGACAGAGAAAAGAGGGGACTTGGCCAAGGTCAAAAACAAGGTCTGTGCTAAACCAGGATAGTATGATACCTAGATCCCAGGCACTTATTTTTGCACTTTACCTGTAATCAGCATTGTTTCTGGAGAACATTTACATTTGCATGACAGAGAGATCATCTGATGACTGCTGAGCATCTGCTGCCTCAGGTGTATGCACTTCACTGGGGGTTTTAGGCTCAGATTCGCAACTGTACTGTGACGAAGATGGACCAGCCAGCTCAGCTGCAGTAATTGCCTATTTCTGCACGCTGATCCTCTTCTCTCTTACTGCACTAAGCTAAAGTGAACCATCTCTCCTCCCCTGTGGAGTTAGAGGTCACACACATGTGAGCTACTGCAGATGAGCTGATGTCAGGTAACTGGAAAAGCTGTGAACTGGCTCATGTGCCTGAGCTCCAGGTGTTTCATGGCAGCTGGGATGTTTCAGGTTACCTGTAGATCTTGCAACTGTTATAGATGTATGGAAAATTTAACTTTCTCTGTCAAAATTTTATGACCTGGTAAAGAGACTATAAGCACAGCCTGAAGAAATTGGGTTTGCATTCTGAAAAGCCTCATAGAGAGCAGAGGTGGGCAGCAGCTCCCAGGGCAGCCTCTGTGTCCCATCAAATGCACTCCACGCCAGCATCCTCGCTGTGGGAACAGTTGTTCACACCCCAGTCAGGCTTTGGACAGTCGAAAATTGAATATTCATTCCCACGGCAATTCACATCATCAAGCCAAATCCGTCCAGTGCCTTTGGAAGATGAATCAAACAAAAAAATAAGCAAAAAACTGTTGGACAAAAGAAAGAGGAATATGCATTTTTTCTAAAGAGGCCCCTGCAGGTAGCAGGTGTGTGTTGAGTTCCACAGTTGGCTTGTTGGAAATCAAGCCTTTGGGCACAGCTCAAGCAGCACTTAACATGTGGCTCCCTCGTCCCAAGGGGAATGAGCTGCCCCTTTGAGGGGAATCTCTTTGCTCTGGTGCTTCCTGGGTGTGTGTAACCTCCCACACCAGGCCTGGGGAGGTGAAAGGCTGTTGTGGACTCACCTGCTGTGGCTGTGAAGGCAGAGATCGCACGGCTGTATCCCAGCATTCGGCAGACCACACTGGCATCTTGAGTGCTCCAGCCATCGTCACATATTGTTCCCCAGGTTCCTTGGTGAAAGATTTCCACGCGGCCCCTCCTGCCCCCTCCCGCTATTCGTATGAAATTATTGAAGTTGCCTGGCAGTTCAGAGGAGAAGAAAATAACTCTCCTGGTCATACAGGCATGTGGAAAAAAGCACATTGAAAGACAGAAGCAGTGACCACCAGAACCAGATGAATGTTCCCATCTCCTCAGCTGTAGCCGGGGTGGGACCAGAAGTTACTTATTGCTCAAATCTGAATAATTCAGGGTCTTCTCCTGAGTCTAGAGACACCAGGCTGGAGCTCAGCACATGGAGCCATCAGTTCTGGCAGCCATGCTGCGGGTCAACCAGTGTGCACAGGAGGTACGTTGGTCCTCATCTAAGGTAGCTTTAATGCCAGAAAGCTAGTAAGAGAAGAAGAAATAAAAGTCCAGTACCTTCTCCCTTTTCACCTTTGCTCCCTTTCATTCCTGGAGAACCTGTTCCAGATTAAAAAACAAGCAAATATTTGACAGCTGTTGGGGGGAAAATTCAGTTATTAACTTTTTCTGAATAATTGGGTGTGTCAGAGATACGAGAGCTCCATGCCCTTGTGGAACAGACCTTCTGAGGTAACTAAGGGTATGTAAAAGAAAAGTGGCAAGAAAAGTAAGATAACATACAGCAAAGTCCTCCTAACATGTGACCCAAGAAAAGAGCCACTTGCAAAATCCCACCCATGCACTCAAGGGGAAAGTATCTTATTTCCACTACTGCCTGTAAAATAACATCTCTGATAGCCTTTGGGCTCTCCAGAAGCAGGCATGGTATGTCCCAAAGTATTTGCAGGAATAACTACATCATGGGGTTTGCTCTCTAGGTGCTGCCATGGGGCAGCCAAAAGCCACTCCCAACAGTCCTCTGTGTTTCTGTGCAGTGTCCTGGTCTTGAAAGCAGAAGTACTTGACAAAACACAATGAGGTCTTTCCCCAAAAGCTACCTCCACACAGCAATTGCTATCTCCTTCTGCAGACCAGGAGCTGAGACCCTCCCAGAGGACAGTCCCTAACCTGGGGTCACCCTGGTTATGCTTTTCCCCTCTTCCAGAGGCAAAGCTCCAGAAGAAGAGTGCACGGAGGAGCCCCAGATAGGTTCCAGTTTATTTTATTTCTGAGAACTCTTGTACTGTTCAGTGTGAACAATTAAAATAAAAAAACATCTGGAGCACTGTTCACTTCCCACGGCCTGTTGTAATTACTGGTTGGGTTGGTTTTTTGCTACAGATCTTAGGGGTTCTGGAAGCATCCTGTGGTTGGAAGGGAGGGTGTTAAGGATGGGGAGTAGCTGTAGTGTTGGCCCTTTTAAACTATTTTGGGTCCTACAATTAGCAAGTCATAGTTAATAGCCCTGGTGTTTCTGAATCTACATTCCTGACAGTGGGAGTTATCCCAGCGGCACGGTATGCTGCAAGATGTCTCTGTACAGAGCAGAGAGAAATGTGGATTATTCCAGTTTTCTGTGGGATCAGGGATTTAAGAATATCTAATACATCTGTTTACTTGTATGTGACACCCTGCACATTCATTTCTGGGAAGACTGTTCTGTCTGTTGAATTCCTCCAAATGAACTCTGTAAACATGCCCCAGAGCAGCTTGTGCCAGTGTGTGATGTACAGTCCCAACCCCAAATGTACCATCAGCTCCACAGACCCCGTAGGAAACAGCCTTACCAGAGAGTCCACGGTCTCCCTTTTCTCCTTTTACTCCTGGTCCTCCTTTTGGACCTTGGCTGCCAGCATCACCCTTGCTTCCTTTTTGACCAGTTATGCCTGGACTGCCTGGGTGGAAGGCAAGAAAGTAATTGCTTTTGTCCCTTCCCAAGGAAAGAACATGACGAGCATTTGACATTGAAGCAGAGAAGTGGAACGTGGTGTTTAAAGTGCTTTGCATCATCAGAGTAAATCAAGCAGTCAAACAAAGGTTTACCTGTTGGGCCCTGGTCTCCCTTTGTTCCCTTTTGCCCTGGAAGACCTAAGATCATCAAAACAAACAAACGAACAAAAATTTATAAGACAGGAATTTATACATTTATAAAAGCTTATGCAAACTCGTATTTATGATGGATTTCAACTTGTGTAGTTTAACTGTCTACACTACAGGCATCTGTTTCTGAAGTGAGTGTCTTATTTCCTGTTATACTCAGTGCAGACCTTGTCAAGAAAGAAAATACAGACAGTAGAGAATTGTCTTCTCCTGAAGTAGATCATCTTCTGGTAATTTTTTTCCATATCCTAAACTCCATTGATGAAATAGAGACCCTCCCTCCAGGTGGGTCTTCATGGATTGTATGGAGAGCCCTATATAATAAATGTAAATATAAATTATATAAATGTAAATTTTGGTGCATCAGACATAAGCGAGCACATAATGTTGGGACAGGTGACTCCCATCCCTGTCACCCAGGTATCAATGAATGCAGAAGAGTGCAGTGCTTGGACCTTTGTCACGTCCTGATGGAGAAGATAAGTTGTGTGCACTAAATAATTTGAGTTTAAAAAGGTTGATTCAAGAGAATACACCAGAATAGGCTTGTACTGGAGAATGTGGGACAGAGAGGTGGAAGGTCAAAGATGGAAGGTCAAAGAAAATGCCTAGTTTGTTTGCTAAGTTGGCCTTTTAGCAATACCTCTTCTTGCAGTGCTATAGAGGAGACCAGGGCAGATGCTTGCTAGTGAATACCCTGCCCCATCAGATTTACAGACAGTAAAATTCATTTTTAGCTCCAGGGTAGGGAGGTGGTTGTGTGGTTCATCTTAAACTGCTGCTTTGTTTGCACCTTTTCTATTTATAAAAAAATGCAGGGAACATCACCTCCTCACGCATGTTACAGATGGTGAAACAACCCCTCCAGTGAGCAGCTGCCATCCCAGCAGTCTGGCAGAGGCCCAGGTCCACCATAGCATCCTGGGATATGTTGGGGCTCCAAGAACAGGACTCAACAAATCTCCTCCTTGCTGTTGCAGATCCCTTCCCAGTGTCTGCATGATACATGTTGTTGACCCCAAACCTGGTTTATTCTGCTTTACCTGTTTCTCCTCTGTCTCCCTTTTCACCTTTGGGTCCTGCAATGCCTGATGTTCCTAAAATTAAAACCAAATCGGTAAGAGCGAAGCCATCACACAAAGAGAGGCCGGAGTAGGAGGTCAGTGAGTTACAGGTTTGAGTAGCATTGTACCTGGACTACCACTGGGCCCTTGGTCCCCCTTCTCCCCTTTCTGACCAGGTCTGCCTTCGAGGCCAGGAGTTCCTGCAGGTCCACGTTGTCCAGTTACTCCTTGAAGTTGAGCAAAAGCAGCACATGTGAAATGCAACACAACATATGAAGGAGAAAAAAGAAAGCTAGCTCAATCACCAGCCCCTGCACTGTGCAGATTGAGTTGACCCTATGAAGGCAAAACAAACTGGGTGTCTCCGAATTGCAGTCCTCCCCTGGCAGCACTAATCTCAGCAGTGCAGCGAGTGATGGTCTGGGGTGAAAAGGTGTACAGACCCAGGTCCTTGTAGGCTGTCAGCCTTGAGAGGCACAAGTGCTTTCCTAAAAGAGCATCCAATTTCTGCCCTTGTGTGCATACATGTCAGGAAGGAGAACGTGGCCCTTCTTTCCCTCTCATTCTCCTGCACAGTGAGTGAGATCCAGATGAGACAGCTGAGGCTGTGGGATGGGTTTGCACAATGTCAGCATGGTTTCTTCATCTAATCATCATCTTCTCTTACCCATGCTGAGATCTAGCCTGGCTGCAGTTTTCCTTGTCATGAAGCACCGTCTAAAAGAGATTGGTCTCATATCTCTAGAAGAAGTTGCACCTTCTGTACTACTTACCTGCCTCTCCTTTCTGCCCAGGACGTCCAGGCTCACCCGTGCTACCTGTAACAACATCTTAGCATCAGTGCTAATGAGGCTTAGCCTAACACTTCAGCTAGGGCAGCTCTCCACCATGGCACGCATGTGCTGATGGTGGGTTGTACTGTGTCCTCTGCACTTACCATTGAAACCTGGCAGTCCTGGGACTCCCTGCTGTCCCTGAGGACCCATGGGTCCAGGGGGCCCGGGGTCTCCCTTCATGCCTGTTTCACCCTTCTGTCCTTGGAGACCTATCAAACAGCAGAGCACACGTTGAATAAATTAAAACAAACAAACAAACAAACAAACAGATTCATTGTCTCTGCAGCCAGTGGAGCACCTCTGTCTGGCTGCACCAGCAGCAGAGTTTGGCCTCATACCTGCATTTACCATCCAGTGGCATTCCCATAGAGCTGTGGGAGGACAGGGCTGGATGGCATCTCAGAGTATGTCTGAGCCACCTCCAGCTCTGCCACACTGTCTGGCCAGATGTTTGTCTGACCTGCTGTTAAAAACTTGCAGTGGTGCCATGACACCTCCCCAGCCTATTCCCCAAGCTATCCCTGCCACTAGAATGTTTTATTCTCTAGTTAAATATCCCTTATTGCACTCTGAACCCTTCCCTTCTCCTAGCCATAGTGGAGATGAGGACAGCATATTCCACTCCTGTACTTCCAGGGAATTGCCACACCTCCCCTTAGCCTTCTCTTCTCCAAACAGGTGATCGGCATGCTCCAAAAGAGCTGAATTACTTGAAAATTCCTCATTTGAAGACTGACATCTCCTTCATTTTTCTGCTCCAGAATTATCCCAAAGTCCTTACCTTACAGTATTCCTCCTACTTTTACTTTTCTTTTCTGCAGCAACTTGTGCTATTGAGCACACCGGAGCATGTGGGATCTGATGGAAGATCTGAGGAAGCTCTAATCAACTGCACAACAAACTCCTGCATCTGTACCACACACATCTGCTTTCTTTTGCTATCCTGATTTCAGCTTTTCCTCTCTGGGTGCAGCTCATGTGAGACCACTAAATAGCAGCTATCCAGGAGATGCCCACTAATGCATGCTGCATGGGAGAAACACGGTACATAACTCTTCTACTTAAGGTGTAGAGAAGTCAGGCTTATACAAGATATAAAGTTCTCAGAAATAGCTTTTCCTAAGGTGAGGACTAACATCCACATGCTTGTGCATATAAATTATATTGTATTATTTTATACCCTGAAAATCCTACTGCAAACATCGCTGCTTTAATCTGGGATAGGCTGATAATTAAATACCTGTGGCTTTCATTAGACCAAGGTCACTCTGTGAAGAGACTTTCATGGTGCAGAGTCAACATTTTGCACGTCCCCTTTTCCCAGCCCTCCTTTGGGAGCTTTGCTGGAGCATGACATGAAATGAAATCCCTTCAGATCAGGTTGAGTGTCCTGTTCATCCAGCTCCCTCACTGACTGGCAAGACACTCTCAGAGCTGCCTGGATTTCTTTGAAGTATCTGACCTGTGAACGCTTATTCTGCTGTTTTAAGTAGAATGTATTTAAACAGGAATATATGGGAGTATCTTAAAAATGTTGAGATAGAGAAGAAGTCTTACCTGCAAGCCCTGTCTCTCCTTTTTCTCCTCTTACTCCTGGTGCACCACTCGGGCCAGCAGGACCAGGATCTCCTTTGCTCCCCTTCGCACCCTGCAGTCCCTGTAAGCCTACAAAGACAACATCATTTTTATGATGCTTCATCGAGTGGCATGTCTAGTGAATGCCAACGGCAGGCCACGTGGCACAGCTGCAGGCATGAGCCAAACTCTGCTCTCCATGTACTTGAGAGCAGTGCTGGTGGCAGTGGGGAACTGGCCCACCATGACTGGTGCACTTTCACTTTTAAAATAAGATTTTTTCCAGCGAAGTTCTGCTTTTGTTCACATTGGTTTTACATAGGCTTATTTCCTTCAACTCCAATGACATTTCTACTAACTTACACCTTGGCTGAGGACAAGATTGCCCATAAAATCATCCATAAAGCCACTTTATGTTCATCCACAAAAGTCATCCAGATGTCAGAAAAGCCTTACCTTGAATTCCTCGGTCTCCCTTTGTCCCCGGTGGTCCCTGTAGCCCTGAAATGTAAAATACATATATCAGCTGACACATGTTATCTGTTCACAGTAATGGCTAAGAGGAAGAGATGATTTTTAAAATTTTTTAACCATCCTTTGTGCATGTGCCTTTGGTCAACACTGAGGCCAATCTTCAGCAGGCAGGGACCAGCAGAACCGCTTGAGTAAAGTCCATGGCATTCGGTTGAGTTTTTGGTAGGGCAGGAGCCAGCTGTCTTCCAGCCAAGCCCATCTCGTGGGGACCTTTGGGGGGATCTTTCCTGAAAATGCACTGAACTATTGGGCTCTAATATATAATAATGGTGCTTGCCAGGAGGTGCTGTTTCAATGTTGTAAGTGCAGCCAGGAAGATATGAAAACATGATTTTTAAAAAATTTATTAATTTTTTTCTTCAGAAAACCTCATCAGTGTAGCCAAGAACAATGGATGGATGAGATACAGACCTGACCTAACAAGGGTTGCATCTTAGATCATCATCATAGGATCATAGAAACTCTGGTTTCTGTGGACATTGCCTAGTCCAACCTCTGCTCAAAGTAGAGCCAACATTAGATCAGGACTTGCTGCGTCCTCACAGTCTGGAGACATTAATCTCCTACAGCGGGTGTAGTTCTACCCTAAACCCCCAGGTATCCAGGGCAGCAGCTTGTGCGTGGCTGTGGAAAGGGAGGACTGGCACCCAGCTCATTCCTGAGTCCGTGCGATCATTTCCCCAGGGACAAGGTGGGCAAGGTCCCAAATCTGCCACTGTTTGTTACGCACACTGTTCAGCTTGAGACCTATAGAGCAGGGACTGGGGAGGTCTCCTTGAGCTGTCCTGGAGTCAGTTGGACAGCCAGACTTGCTATGTGTGGGGCAGAAAGCCCAGCTATCTGCTGGTTGTAGGACACACATAAACCCCCTCCCTGGTCCTCTCTTGTCTCAGATGGATATTTGAGATGGTTATTGCAGATAATGACCAGGTACAGTTTCTCCATCACTCCTGAGCTTTTCTGATGGGGTAGCAGTGAGGAGGCAGAGCCAAAATGCTTTTCCATGGTGGCCACTGACCCATGCAGGAGCCCTCGGGCAAGCCAAGGCTTCTGGGGGATCAGCTAAGAGGTGCAGCAGGTTTCTTCATGGACAGGGCACTGGGTGTCTGCACCTTGGGTAAGATCTGGGTCTAGAGACTGAAATCCCAAATCCTCACTTCAGGTCTCTTAGGGGAAAAGATAAATAAAATAGAGGGAAAGTTGCTTACGGTACATTTACCAACATACCTGGTGGACCAGGTTCTCCTTTGCGTCCAGGAGATCCTGAAATAAATATTTAATGGATATTTTTCAGTAAATGACACTCAGTGAGGAACATATCAGTATGGGGTTGATAGGTTTGAGGTCTGGGCTGAAGACACCACCCTTTCAGAGGGCACCCAGAGCTCAAGTCTACAAGTTACAGGTAGGGAGAGCAGCCCAGAGACACGTGTACAGCTGCAGTACAGTGTACAGTGCTCCAGCTTCTCCAGGTGGAGATGCTCCAGTCCTGGGCACTGGGACATCACTAACTGACAGGAAGACCAAATCTTGTCCTAGTTATTTGTTCATCTGAACCAGGCTTTGTCCCAGCTTTGCAGTGGTGCAGAGGAACCAGCTCTCCCCACTGTACAGCCAGCATGGAGAAATGGAGCCATACCTGCAACCTGGCTAATGTTGTTCATCATCACCATCAGGTTTGCATTGCTGCTTTTAATTATAGTGATTTCCTTTTCTAAACTTCTCCTCCAGTTTTCTTCATGTCCCATGTGCTTCTCTGCAGAGTTTCTCTCCAAAAGCATTTTGTTGGCAAAGGGGCTTTGCAGAATCTCTTCTATATGGGAGGTATTTTGTTCTTGAAATTTCAGTATCTCTTTCTGCATCTTAAACACTGGGGAAACAAAAGGCCCGTGTAGTGAATATTTCCCGCCCAATCTGGCTGGGAAATGCCTGTTCAGCAGAGCAGCTCCTTGTCACCAATGGAGGACATTTGAGGTTAACCACCACCACTGTTTGACCCGGGGAGGTGGTTTTCATGTGCCAGCCCTTGCTGCAGCCAGGACTGCAGCCAGGAGTGCTTTTGCAAATTCAAAGCACGTGTATGGGGTGGGAGAATGTTTCTTGCAGTGGCTTCTTTGGCTTGCAGTGTGCAGAGGAGCATCTGTGCTCCCTCAGAGGTTGCCTATCTGCATGCTCATCCCCGCTCACCCGTGCCCCCTGAGAGCACCCAGCAAAGATGTCTTGATGTCAAGCCCACTGTGAGGTTGCAGTGTTACCTTCATATGCCAGCAGCCCCTGGGCGGCCGTCAGCAGCAGCAGGTAGATGCCGAGGACTGCTCGAATACAGAACGTGGATGGCTTTCTTTGGCTTCGAGGCTCTGAAATCCAACAGAAGTAGGGTAGACATCCTCTCACATCTCTCCCACTACAAACTATTCACTTCCAGCCCTTTCAGGCTTGACCACAATAAATTAGCCATGGTTTCCAGTGACAAGGAGCAGCAAGGTCCCTCTGTGAGACTGTCAGGTCCTGCAGGCAAGGCAGGCTGCCTCCCTCTCATCCGGGCTTTGCGCTGCGATTCTCTCATCCATCTTTTCCTTAGCCGATTTCACCAGCTCGCTTCTATCAAGACTTAATCCAGTTTATAACAGTATGAATGTGGTAGTTCTCCCCTTTCAGCAGCAATAAACTCCCTGTTGCCACCATAGAAACATACAGTGGTATGGGTTGGAAGGAACCTTAAAGAAGTCCCATGAGCAGGGACACCTTCCACTACACCAGGTTGCTCAAAGCCTCATCCAACCTGGCCTTGAGCACTGAGGCGTGAACAGGCATGAACAGTGAGGCATGTATACATTGAAACAAATGAAAATCAATAATAGACTGAACTGCAGAACAAATGGAAACAAGTCATAGAATCATAGAGTCATTAAGGTTGGAAAAGACCTCCAATATAATCAAGTCAACTGTCAACTCAACACCACCATACCCACTAAACCATGTCGTGAAGTACCATGTCTACACAGTTTTTTTGAAGTAATGACATTTAAATTGTCAGTGGCAAGTGTAAAAGAAATAAACTGCTTTGTCAAGTTTTGGCCTTCAGGGAGAAAAACCTATTTCAGAAGCATTAATAACTACTTCAGACACTCAGTAAGTTCCTTTAATTGAGATTTTTTCAAAGTAATGTAATCAGGAGTTTAAAGTCTTAGCTTAAAAAGAGTACAATGATTTAATTAGTTTTACAATAGAATGGTTTAGTCAGCAATGAAGTATTTATGTTCAGCTAAAAATTAATAAACTTACATTTTTTATTGGATCTGGTGATTTCAGTATCTTAACTATTAAGGCATTAAAGTTTTACTCAGTGAAATTAAGCATTTTCTAAATCAGGAAAAACTATTTTTTTCTGATGTTCAGCATCAGCTTTGTGCTAGAAAGGATACTTCTAGCAGATACTTCTTTTTTTAAAATGGTCAATTAATTTAGTAGCAAATTCATTGTAAAAAGCATTTAATATGCAGAATATACACAATATTTCATTTTTATACACTGCTTTCTTCACAGACCAGATCAAATCCATATCAATCCACTTAATAAAAAGAAATCTTACCACTTATCTGAAATGTTGTAGTAGCAGCTGAGGCAAACCCAATCTTGTCTGAAATGCTGAAAGTGTTCATATCACTTGAATTTCCATCTTCCCCGAATCTGTCTTTAATTGTCATGACAAATTTCTCGTGGCTAACCTAAAGCCTTGTCAGATTATGGACAACAAAGGACTGAAGGGACTTCCTATCTGCCTCCTGATTTGATATGCTTTCTGATATGCTTTTCCTATCTGCTCAGTTTTTATAGACTTGTGAGAAGTCTGATGTGGTAATTCAAACAGTTCCTCAAAAAATCCCACAGCTAAGATGTTCAGCTGCTCTTGTGTGCTCATTTGGGGACACCATGACCATGGAGCCTCGGGTAGGATTCTGCAAGAGGTTCAACCCTGAGTTATTCAACATCTCTGCATTTTAGTGGAGTTCAGCATTTTGCTCCTGACACAAGTAAACCTCCTCATGTCACCAAGAAGATCCCAGGTTCAATGTTAGTTTGGAGATCCACCCCCTGAGAGGGGAGGTGAAGCACTGCATGGTGGTGAAAAACACATTAACTTGCCCCAAGATGACAACTCCGTGATGGTGTGTGACTGAAGCACAAGGAAGGAAGGAATCAGGAGTTGTAAAGACAAGTGAATGATGGTGGATTCGGGGATGCTGAAGCCCAAACAGGCTTGGGGTGTAATGGAGAAGACACACGTGCAGCCTCCTTGCTGACACTCTCTCCAGCCCATGCTTTCTCCCTGACCCATTTTCCACACTCACAGATACAGCTCCCACCACCTCACCACTTCTTTGCTCACGTTGTGTAAAACCCACCCCTGCAGACCTCACTGTGGCATTTGGTGTTTTGGCATCTCCATTTGGGCCAGGGTTGATTTTGATTTTGCAAAACGAAGCGACTCACCCAAGCCTGCAGACAAGAGCTGTTGGTAGGGGCTGGGCAGAGCCCTCCTCACCCACGCTGCTGCCACCGCTATGTGCTGCCCTCTCCAAGGCGCAGGGCTGTCTCCATCACATGGTCTTCTCCTGGGCTGTGGGTCCATGGTCATCTGCAGGGTTGCTGGGTCCTCACTGCTTTGCATGGCCATGGATGAAAGTGCAGTGTATGCTTCAGGTAGATGTGAGCTGGAAATTCACCCCCGACAGCCCAGTGCAGAATGAAGCCCTCTGTCTGCACCTGACACACGGATCTCTTCAAGGCTTAAACCAAAAATATGTGGTGGTTTTTAAATCCACTTCTGTGTTCTCCTTTCAAATGTGCTTGTGCAGCTGTGACCTGGTTTGGCACTAGCAGGGAGGAAGAGGAATCCTCCATTATCATGTATTCTGCTATACACTGGGTAGGAATTGGGATAATTTACTTCGTTGTGAACAGCTCAGATACTCCCCTGAATTACAGTGGATCAAGAGGTTACCAATCAGCTGAGTTGTGGTAACTACCTGTGCATCCTCTACCTCTATGACATTGCCTCCCCACAGGGGTAAGGGCTCTTATCCAGCCCATTTCTAATGGTTTGGGTGGTTCAGCTGCCCACTCTGTGCAAGCCTGAAGCCATCTGCTCTTGCTGGGCCAGGCAATGATCTGGGCATGACTGCTCTGTGTCACCAAGTGGATGTTTATAGGGATGGATGTGCTTCAGGTGCAGGCAGAGAGCAGATTTAGAGCAGAGGGGCTTTTAATAACGTATCTAGACAAATCCATTTTTGTTTCAAAAGTATCAAAAAGAAGCCGGCAGCTGTAGTTTTCAAAAAAGCTCTTCTAAAAGGAAAAAGATGCTATTAGATCTTTGTGCTCTCCTTCCCAAAGACCTTCAGGGGTATGTTTGCTCACCTCTCATGGTCATGCTGTACCTGTGCCATTCTCAATGGCCCAGGTGGCATGGGTGTAAAAACAGGGGTAGAGACCCTCAATTGACAGTCCTGATCCAGGGTTCAAAGTCCAGTTCTCCACTGAGCTATTTTGGGAAGGTCAATAGCAAAGTCATGATCCCACCCAACTTTGCCTGTCAGTTGTGGTTGCCTACCCAACTGGTCAAACTGTCAAACTGGTCAAATTGTTGCCTTATTTCTAGTTGACTTAGTCCCATGAGCTCTGCGTGCTGCCACATGTCCATCAGTCAGGTGAGCATCTGGCTGCCTGGGAGTGTTGCTCTGTGTTTCCCTCTGGATGTCAACCTCTGCAAACAGGCAACAGATTTCCCTGCGCACATGGTGCTGGGGGTCTCGCCCATGCCACGGACGTCAGAGATCATGTACCGACGTGCTTGCTCAGCCTTTACGTGTGCTCGCTGCCGCTGTCCCCACCCTGCTTTCTGCTGTCTTTCATTTCTGACTGCAGCGATAGATTGACTCTGATTGTGCAATCGGGGTTACTAAATCAAGAAAGAAAAAAAAGAAAAGAAACTGCTGATTCAGTGAAGTCTCCCTAGGTTGAGGGTTTGCTGAAACAATGGGTTTATTAATAGAATAGCAGTTTCCAGCACGTTATGGGGCATATCGGCTAGGCCATCAGCCTCACCCTCCAGGCCCTCTGCTAGGAAGCCCTGGGCCCTCTCCCTCCTGCTTCTCATCCTGCCTCCTCTGAAATGCTCTGATGACATCTCAGGAAAGAGCCTGAAGTCCTCTGGCTCATCCCTTCCTTTTCCACGCTCTGATGTCAATGACTCATGCCGGGCAGAAAGTGTTCCTCACGCTCTTGTCGCAAAGGGGCACCACATCTGAACCAAGTTTTATAAACAGGCTGCAGCCACCTCGAAGTCACGGGCCTGGTGGTAACTGCTGGTGAAGAGAAAAGAAAGTGTCTGGTCCCTGGCCATCCCTACTACCTTTCTCATCTTCTTTCACCACTGTTGTCAGCTGCAGGCATTTGCCACCACCAAAAACTCATGGCAGAGCAAAGAGGCACAACACTAAACTCCAACCTAGTATTAGCTAAACACAGCAGTTCCCAGCAGTGATACCGTCAGGGGGCTTGGACAGATGTTAGACTCCTCAGGATAAACATTTATCCTTACAGAAGTGAATTGGTGATTTTTTAAAATTTACTTGGTTGGCTGTTTTTTTTTCCCCCCAAATTAGAAGATATCCGAGCTCAGAGGTGTTTGTCCATTTATCTACAAGGTGGTAATTTTTCCAAACTCATCTATTTGATTGCAGACTGTCTGAGGCATAAATGAGAAAAAATCAGGAGGCTTTGGTGCCCTTCCAAGGACAAGGAAGAGAAGAGGTGGTGGCACAAAAAAAGCCCCATGTCAGTTAAGCTGGAGCAGCACTCTCCACCCTTTCTGCCATCATCCCTAGACTGAAGTGAGAGTGGCAACCAGAAGAGGTGACAGTGTACCCTTTATCTCAACACCTGCACTCGTGTTTCTGCCGATGGACTTCAAAAAAACCAAAAAGTAATCCTGCCCACAGACCACACTGCTCTCCTACAGAAACAAGTAGCCATGGTTTGACCTGGGACACAGCTGATAGATGCACATCACAAAGCCATTAGTAATCAGAGCTCTACAATTGCTTCTGCAGTGGTAGGTCTGTTTGTAAACAAGCTTGTTTTTTGTTTTTTGGGAGTTTGTTTGATTTTTTTTCCTGTTTTACCTGATTTTTCAGTCTTTTTATCTTTTTGGAATTTTGACATACCAGTTAACTCTTGTGGTGGATTGTCCCTGGCTATCAGCCAAACACCCACCCAGCTGCTCACTCAGTCACTTTTCCCAAAGGATGAGGAGAACGCAGAAGCAAGGTGAGAAGACTCATATGTCGATATGATGATAACTTAATAAGGAAAGCCAAAGCTGCACTTGAGAGCAAAGCAGAAAGAGGAATTCATTCTCTACTTCCCATCGGCAGACAGATAGGCAACCACCTCCTGGGAAGCAGGGCCTCAGCATGCGTGATGGTTGTTTGGCTGACAAATGCCCTAACCACAAACATCTCCCCTTCCTCCTTCTTTCCCTGAACTTTTATTGCTTAGCTTGATGTCATATGGTGTGGAATATCCTCGTGGCATGTTTGGGTCAACTGCCCCAGCTGTGTCCCCTCCCAGCCTCTTGCCCACCCCCAGCCTACTCACAGCCTTGACACTGTGCAAGCACTGCTCACCAACAGCCAAAGCACTGCTGTGTAATCAACACTGGTTTAGCCACCAGTCCAAAGCTCAGCGCCATTTGGGCTGCTGTGGAGAACGTTATTTCCATCCCAGTCAGACCCAGTACAGCTCTCCAGTATGACAGTGTTTATGCTAAACAACCTTGTTCTACCCAAGGAAGGACCAAGGACTTTGATGCCCATGAACAACCGGGAGGCACTGCTGAATTCAGGGGGTGCTGAAGCAGGTTGTGAGTGATCCACCCACCAGCAGCTCATGGAGGTGCCAGGTCTTGGGCTCTTTCTTGTGGGTATCCCACTGATGTCTGGCTCAGCCCTGAGCAGCACCCCCTGAAAAATAGTGGATCCAGCTCTAAAGGCAAGAAATGATATGGTACCTGGAGAGTTTCCATGCAGAAGAGAGACTGTGGCCAATATGCAAGATCTAAACACCTGCAATTTGTGCCAGGGCATTAAAATAAAGCTTAAGCCTGGACCCAAAGGGGAGGTAGGGACTTTTTCTGAAGCCCCTGCGTCCCTCTGTGCCCAGAGCCACGCTCAGGAGGTCCGGCTGCTGCAGTAGCACCTGGGCACTCCTGGGACCGCGGCAAAGCACTTGTGTTAAAGCAATAAAATCCCAGGTGCTGCCTGGCTGACATTTCTCCTTTCTAGCTTGACGTGTTGCTTGGCTTTGTTGTAGAGATTGAAACCAGATTTTCTTTCCCGTCTATGAGTTATGTTAATTTGTGTTTCATCAGAACTTGCCTCTTCTCCTTTTCTTTTTTTTTCCCCTCTTTAGGCTGGATCCAGCTGCACCATGAATTCAAGGAACCACCTGCAAAATATTTTAATGACTTCAACCTGCTCTTTGAGGTGAATTAGTACCAGGGCAGCCTCCACAGCATGGTGAAATAGTCAGGCTTGGCTAAACAGGCCACCCTCAAAGCAGAAAAATATGTTCTGCAAGCAGCTGCTCCTGACAGGCAACTCTGTTTTCAAGGTTCCCATGAGGTGTCTTGTTCCTCACCTTG